AGATAAATAGGGACCACCTCGGTGGGAAGGTAAACAGCGTTCCGTGTCTAAATCACACTGGCCATGTGACCACGGAAAGATTGTCTTCGGACAAAACGCTGGCTCTATGGCTTGAAGAGCGGGATGAGCGCTGCCCCCTAGAGTCGAACACGACTGGACAAAAATTGTCAAGGGGAACCTTTACCTTTACCTTTAGTTTGTTGTTATTGTTTGATAAACAAAGATGCCATGCTCCTGAAATGAAGTTTTAATTGTTACTTGTGCTGGTAGGCAGTAAAAACCCTCATTTTCATGAAATTATTTAATGTTGTAAAAGTAACTGAGGGGGGTCTCTTAACTAACAGTAGTAATAGTAATTATTTCTAAAAGTGTTGGTCAACATGTTTAACTTTTGGCATTTACAGGTGTGTAATTATGTATTCAATTTTTTCAGACATTTGAAGGTCCTATATTTGATTTGGTTATAAAGCAGCTAAGACAACATCAGAATACCAGAGATGACAAGTTTATTGTTTGCCTGAATAAAGTATCAAAGAACTTCCCACCTCTCGCTGATAGGTATATAAGAATTATGACTTGCCTTTACTGTGCAGTGCTTCAGTTAAACAACAGTGTTATAACTTCTGGTTCTTGGTTGTAAGGTTCATGAATACAGTCTTCTTCCTGATACCAAAACTTCATGGGGTGATGAAAACTTACTGCCTGGAAGTAGTAATGTGCCGTGCCCAAGAAATTGATAATCTGTATTTACAGTTGAAGAGTAAGGAATTCTCGCAGGTCATGAGCCACCGGTAAGTGAGGGCATAACTAGCCTATATTTCGTTCCCCTTTATTATGTCAATGGTTCATGGTTTTTATGTTAATTGTTCATGCATATTCATGTTGCTGAGAGGCGGAGCCGAGAGAGATGTGATAAGAGGCGGAGCCTGAGAGAGAGTCAGTCAGAGAGAGTATGAGTAGCGTGAGAGAGGGAGAAGGAGATAGAGTGTGGAGTTTGGGGAAATCTGAGAGGTGATTAGTTAGGAGTGTATTATCAAATAGAAGATTGTTGTTAATAATAAATTTACCTATAGAAGATATTAATGAATCACTATCAATTTCTGTAATCAATAAACAAAAGTTATATTGAAAAGACTTTGAAGTGTGGACCTGAATCTTCATCTTCCTGAATAATGGTGATTTGGTGATCATCTGGTGGCAGCAGTGTAAAAGAGGGGATTGTTTGCCTTTGAGTCCTCTTGAGTCTTGACGGTCAAGCAAGGGGGCACGATGGTCAAACGCTACACTCACATCACTGGAGTCTGACTTAGCAGATGCTGACCCTCCATCTCCAGTGGAGCACTTTCAAACTTATGCACAATTAATTCAGAAACAACCAGCCCTGAACTCTTATCTTTGTGGAGGCTTCTCAATCTCGACATCGCCGAATTCTCATACTGCCTAATAAGGACAGCAGGTGAATCGATTCCATGGGCAGATGGCTATATTCTTCTGCTGCCTTCACCATGGGAGTCACCAACTATCAAGGAGCCATGGGTGCTTAACAGCGGTTCCTCTGGGACAGTATGTCCACCTTCATTGAAGCTCTTCCATAAAGGCTTTCAGTCGCCAAGCAGCAAATGCTGTCAGCCAGACATACTGTCGATGCCACAGCTAAATCCATGGCTACCTCCATGGCCCTTTGATGTTTTTCCTGGCTAAGAACTGCTGGTCTCGCTAAAGATGTGAGAGCTTGTATTGAAGACCTCCCATTTGAGGGGTCAGGTCTTTTCAATGCTGAGACAGACAGCATTCTGGAAAACATCCAAAAGAAAAGAATGGCTGCTAGACGTTGGGGAGTCTACCCTACATACCAGCAATGTCCCCAGTGTACTCAATGGCGGTGCCCTTACAACTCCTTCCAGAAGTTCCATCAAGAACCTCAGAGGCAAATTTCTTACACATCTTACTACAAGCAACAACCTTACTGGGCCAAACGACGTCAACAGGCCACAACCAGGTGCAGTGATCACAAACCCAAGCATCGTATTTGACGTCCAGCCGGCCCAGATCCAAACAACGCACCCCCACATTCCTCCCCCTACCCTCTGGAAACGCTTACCTATATAGGAAACCATCACCATGGATGTTTGGGTCCTCTCCATCATCCAAAGCGGGTACCGCATCCAGTTCCATCAACTCCCTCCGCCATCACATACTGTCAAACCTCTGTTGCAAACCCTACAAGATGAAATACAGGCACTACTATTCAAAGATGCCATAGAACCAGTATATATATAAAAAATAAAAATAAACAACGGAGCAAGCGCCATCGAAAGACGTTGGGGCTGCAAATAAAATCACCAAAAAACAAAAGAGCACAGCACAGAAACATAAACTCCCCAGCCCAAACCCACCCTGCAAAACCCACCCAGAACAGGCAATTTTTAAAAAGCAGAAAGCAGCACCTTACCAGGCAGTCCCAAACCTCCCTGCAAACACACACACACGCTCACTCAAAAGCAGAAGCCAGGCAGTCCCAAGCCGCCTTCGATCGCGCACTCTCTAACTGCTGGCGTGAAGCAGCTACAAAGAAGCAGCGTCTTCACCACCAACAGTTAGAAATTTGAATTCCCCGCTTTTTTCCTTGCCTTTTTGTGCTTGTAACTGGAAGCTCCGTCCGCAAGTCGAAGCAAAATTTTGTGGCCGGAGCTGGTTGTAACTCGAAATGGCTGTAAGTCGGGACGTTCGTAAGTTGAGGTACCACTGTATCTTCAGTTTTATCCAGATAAGGTTAAACTGTTTGTAGATAATTCTTTTCTAGCCAAGGTTGTCTCCCAGTTTCATCTATCCCAACTGTTGGTTTTCCCATCCTTTTTTCTCTCTCCATCTACTTCTCAGGAGAGAATCCTTCATATCTTAGATGTTAGAAGGGCTCTGGCATTTTATTTAGCCCACATGCAACCCTTTTGATGTTCAGCCTGGCTCTTCGTCAGTTACCAGCTCCCTACTAAGGGTCTTCAAGAGACCTCTCAGAGAATTTCTAAATGGGTTGCTTCTGCCATTCACCTGGCATACCAGCTTGCTCAACTGCCAGCTCCTCAAGTTATTCACCCTCATTCTACTAAGGTAGTGGAAACATCTATGGCGTTTCTTCGTGGCGTTCCCCTTCCAGATGTCTGCGCCTCTGCCACATGGTCACAGCTGTCTACATTCATCAAGCATTACAGATTGGATGTTTGGCAAAAATCTGATGTGACCTTCGGATGTGTTGTACTATCCTCTACCTTGGCGTGACACCTTCCTCTGAGTAAGACGGCTTGTTAGTCACCCAGGGTGTGATTCGCAGAGGCCACGAAGAAGAATGACAGGTTACTCACCTGTTATAGTTCTTCAAGTGACCACTGTGATTCACACATCCCGACCCGACCTCCCCTCTGTCATGCCATGTCACTATTCTATGTGGCGGTTAACCTAACTGAAGGAAGAGGCTTGGCCCCAAGGTGCTTATACTGAGGGGGAGGGGTCTACACTAATGTGGGGTTTTTTTTTTTTTTTTTGCTACCACAGAAGCTGTAGAATCTTCTGTCGAGGCTCCGTGCATGCGCGGATTACCCAGGGTGTGAATCGCAGGGGTCCACTTGAAGAACTACAATTACAGGTGAGTAATCTGTCGTTCAGCAAGCCTTCATCCAAAAAGAGCAGGATCATGGGTGTTCAGAAAATAATTGGGCACAGTACAGATATATTTTTTAAGGTGGCTTGTGACAGTTTTTCTTTTCACGTCGTGCCCTCTGCTTAAAAGGTGGCTTTTTCAGATGGGTGTGTTTTTATTGCTTTGGATCAGAAACTGAATGGTTTCTTGCAGTATTTCATGGCTTTAGGACTACACTGCTAAATTTCGGCTCTAATTTTGAGACTGGATGTCTCAGATATTCTGTATCCGTAATGCCAGAATTAGAAGGGAACATTCTGTATCTGTAGTGTTAACACAGTTTGCCTCTGCTGAGACTGTGCAGGTGTTTTCCCCCAAGATAAACTATAAATGATAAGCAGAAAAATTTCCCAACATTAGATGTGGCTTTTCACATAAATTAAGCAAAGGAGCAGACAGGTTTATGAATCTATTGCAGAACTGAAGTCAAATCTGTAAATATTGTGTCTAATTTTCCACATAAGAGTTCATGTAATAGTGAAAACTGAAGTTATTTTGTCGATTTTGTTTAATTTCTTCTAGAGACGATGAAAGACAAACTGTGTGTTTGGAAATAGTGTACAAGATGTTACCCAAGCTGAAACCAAATGAAGTAAAAGAGCTTCTTCCTGCAATAACAAGCTTCATCTCTCACCCTTCAGTGTTATGTCGAGAACGAATGTATGATATTCTTATGTGGTTATATGACAACTACAGGTAATGACTGATGTATTCGTGCTCCACCTCTTTTATTCTTTTAGAGCTGCTCCATGTTGTGCTTACTCATCATGTGAAAAGCTGCCATGCTGGAAATTAGATTCTGTTAGACAGGCAGAGAAAGGGAGCATGAGATGCTGCCCACTTTCATTTTCTCTCTGCATAGGTGCAAAGTCCTCCTTTGCACTCTAAGGGAGCAGGGTTTCCATGCAGTCCATGGGATGAGTACCACTTTCCCAGGCGTCCAAATGCGAGTCTCCAGTATCCTCCATATATCCTCCATCCCTCCCCCTTTGATGGTTTTTGGAAAGATTGGCTTAAAATGTCCCTGTAACCTCCAGCTGGTGGGTGAAATTTCATCATATTTTGAGGACCCCAGCACCATGGCTCCCTCTATACCCCAATTTTTAGTGATTTTTTTAAGAAAATTCACCAGTAGAGGGCACAACATAACTTTTCTGGTTAAACAGAAGAGCGACCACTTGAAGAACCTGTTACAATCCAACCCATCATTTCATATTCTTATTGGAATAGGTGTGGTCTTCTTTGACGTTTGTCCCTAAGGCTTTTAATCCTGGAGGCTAAACTACAAAGTACAGCTCCAAAACGATATAATGACACACTGTAACTCTGTGGTTGGGTTGAGTGAAACCTACCAACTCTTTGGTTTTCTCTGGAGACAGCATTGGGCTCTTTCTTCTGCAGCAGCACAAAAATGCAAGAGCAGCCAGTGCTGCTGTTTCAATGGGAGACATTGTTATAACTTATTGAAAGCAAAAAAGAATAAATTACAAAGCTGTGGATGACATGATCTGGTGATGGATATATTTAATTTAATTTAATTAAAAACTCCCCACACACATTCAGGTTCAGAGGCTCCGTAGGGACCCTTTTGCCCCTGGGAAGCCTTTGGGAGCCTTCAGATGGGGAGAAGGGGAGTCTTTAAATATAAGAAAATAGTCATCAGCAACCCTTCTGGCAGATGAGGAGTGCTGATATTATAGGCTCCCTCTTCTCTGGACTTGAGGTTCCCAGAGATTTACCAGTGGCAAAAGAGATTTCTAGGGAGCCTCAAAATCTGAAGGGGGAGTATGAAATTTTAAATTAAATTAAATGTAACCCAGCTTACACAGCATAAATTTACAGCAGCAGGATTTCAAGCAACATGTTACTTCTAACATGTTATTTCTAAACTGTGTTCTTTAATCCCTTTTACTCCTCCCTCCCCTCTTCTCTTCCTGTATTTTCACTATACCAATTTTGGAGCGAAGGCCCTTTGTCATAGGCAGCTGTCAAATTAATTATTTGTAAGGTTTTGTGTACATAAACAGTATAAGATTGAGGTAGTTGAATATAATTAGGTATGTGTTGGTGAGGACATTAATAGGTAGTTTCATTGTCCTCAAAAAGTAAAATTGATACAACACAGATCTCACCTATTCTCTGTGTGTGAGTGAAGAGACAGTGGAATTGAACTTTTTTTTTCTTACTATTGTATCAGGGATTCTGAAAGCCAGGCAGATGAAATGTCTTCTGATGTGTTTAAAGGAGCAAAAGAATGTCTCCTTCAAGGACTAATTGATGAAAATTCTGGACTACAGTGAGTAAAGTGTGTTTGGGATTTTGCAAATGAGATGTGAAAGCTCTAAGGACTGTTTTGTTTCCAAATTCAAAATTTGGATCCAATTTATGTTAAATTGTTCACTGAAAAATGGGACATCACATATTTGTCTCTGAGGCCCAGGGTACTGTTCTCATATTGAATGAAGGAGCCATGCTAGAAAGTAAATATTGAAGAGCAGTAGGAGCAGCCCTTTCATCCTTAGTCCCCTGGTCAATCTCAGTTGGGTGGCAAAGCTGTGTGTACCACATGGCTTCTTCTGCACCCCCTAAATTGTCCGTTGTTCTCAGGGGCCACCAATCCCATTGCCAGTTATTGAAGATTTCCATTTCCCCTCACTCCCATTCATTGTCTTGCAGGAGCATCCTGTCCATTTTCTTGAGCTGACTTTAACACCAAATGGATCCTTTCTTCCCAGGACGGGGCAGTTCATTGTCACATTCTATTTCAAAACATGAATACAGGACCCAAGGTTGCCCAGCAGAACATTGTCCAGAGCATAAAACTGCCTGTCAGACTGCCTTCTCCCCATAGTGCATCCTGCTGCCATCTCTCCCCCAAAAGAGATGCACATGCACTCAGCCATCCACCTGATCTGATGAATCACATTTTCTTTTAGATTATTTATTTATTTATTTATTTATTTATTGGACTTATATACCGCCCCATAGCGCTACAAGCACTCTCCGGGCGGTTTATAATTTTTTAATTATACAGGCTACACATTGCTGGGTACTCATTTTACCGACCTTGGAAGGATGGAAGGCTGAGTCAACCTTGAGCCGGCTACCTGGGATTTGAACCCCAGGTCGTGAGCACAGTTTTAGCTGCAGTACGGCGTTTTAACCACTGCGCCACGAGTTGACTGGAGGGAAGGCCTGAGTGAAGCACCATGTTTTTAGTTGGATTTTAAAGATGCCCAGCGTAGGGGCCACGCGAATCTCCGGAGGGAGATTGTTCCAAAGGCGAGGAGCCACTGCCGAGAAGGCCCGGTTTCGTGTCTTCTCCATCCGGGCCTCTCTCGGCGTCAGGCTCCTCAGCCTCACCTCCTGGCTTGCGTGGGCAATCCGGGTAGACTTTGGTGGGAGTAGGCGCTCCACCAAGTATCGAGGTCCCAAACCGTTTAGGGCCTTATAAGTAAGCATTAAAACTTTGAAGTTGACGGGGAAACAGATGGGCAGCCAATGCAATGCGGCCAGCATTGGAGAAATATGATGGTGTTTTCTCACTCAGGTAAGGTAGTAGTCTAGCCTCTACATTGATAATAGATAAGAAAGGAATTCAAGTAACTTATGATCACAGTGGTTTCACTTCCCCCTCGTTTGAATAGCCTTGGAGGATATATTGGGTCTCCTACTGACTCTCCTCAGACTAAAGAAGCTACTTGGATGAGTAGCGAAACACTTCAACCTAATAAGAAAGAAGTCACATTGCCATGACTCAACTTCCAGATAACCTCATCTGGATGACTGAGAATGTTTGCAGTTATTATCAAAGTGTTTGTGTTTGTCCTGCATAAAAATTAAGATTCTAATTATAGAAGGGTTGTTTATTGATGATCTTGGAAAGATAATTTATGTAGTCCAAAGAGAAAAGTTAAAATTCCATAATAGAATTCTTTTCTTTTGGCATTCTTGTATTATAGTCTGTTCCCCCCCCCACAGGAAAAATAAGTGTTTATCTGTTTTATTTTACAGATTAATTGTTAGGAATTTTTGGGGTGATGAAACCAGGCTACCACCAAATACCCTGGATCGTATGTTGGCTTTACTGAATTATTTGTATTCTGTCAAAATAGAAACTCAATATTTGAGTTTAGCTACAAATTTTCTTCTTGAAATGACCAGCAAGAGCCCAGATTATTCAAGAAAAATGTTTGAATATCCACTTTCGGAATGCAAATTTCAGGTGCATTTGTATGTTATTTATTACAATAAAGACAAAATAACTTTAAGAAACCAGTGAAATTAAAGAGTTACTTATAATTTCAATGTGTTCATTACATATTTCAGCTCAGATTTTTTTGAAGTGAATTAGTGATTTTCCCCCTAAAATGCTTACGTATAATGTTTGATATACATTTAGTGTAATGTACTAAATAGCTAATTTCTGCCGTTTTTAAATGGATGATAATATTGTATTGAACAGTCCAGTGGAGGAAGTGATAGCTAGGTGAAGTGAAGACATATTCTGAGTCCCACACAGTTTCAAAGGTGATTATGCCTGTTCTCTTGTCACATATCTTATATTTTATAAAGTAATATCTTTAACATCCATTTAGTATGACATGAGCAAGTAGCCAAGTAATTCTATTTTGTTAACTCTCAGTACAGCTCTTTAATAAATTCTTAAATATTACCCTACAACAAGAGCCTCTCAAAATTTGATCTGGACTGTAATTCAGAATCAGTAAAGTCATGATTAAAGTGAAAGCTTGCCAGTACACTTTGGTTACTGTTTTCTAATATGGAAACATTTGACTATTACTATTTTTAAATTTTATTTAGTATCATTTGTAGGCTGCCTTTTCCCCAGTGAGTGGAGTTGAATTGTTTTTTCACTGTATGAATTGTTTCTGTGTCTTCAGTCTAAAAGCTGAACGCACATTTCAGAATGAAAATATGTCCATTTATTGTAACGTGAGAGGCCTTAAGGAGTGAAAACAACATATGTAGAAGAACAAGTGTACAATAAATAAATAAACTTAATAGACTTAAGGCAAACATCAGATGGGAGTGAAGTTTTTATAATACCAAAAGTTTATTAGCCTTTTGACTAAGAGTGTAAGGTATAGCCCCCTTATATGAGCACTCATATCATCTCTCTGATTTTACTGTGAAAAGAAAAAATATGGTTTCAGCTCGCTACATTTTTCTTCTCTAGGATTTTGCTATTGATTCAAATTGGCGGATTCGGAGTACAGTTCTTACCCCTATGTTTGTGGAGACCCAGGTTTCACAGAGTTCCAGCAGGTATCCCTCACAGGAAGGAACAATGGGTGGCCATGTAAGGGCTACCCAACAACAATATGAATTTACTCCCACCCAAAATGTTGGTAAGTACCATGACTCTGATGACACAGATGTCAGAAGACATCTCAGGTCACAAGAGTCTGTTTTTTGTTTCAACCTACAGGTGAGAGGTATAGAGATTTGTGCCTTTGGAGTAAAACACCCAAAATTCCCCAGGCAGCATGCGAAAACACAAATCTACACATCTCTAAAAGTGATGCTGTCTGCCGTTGAGAAGTAAAAAAATGCTTCCTGGCTTGCATGATTGCTACTACATTGCTGAGGTGTGGCTTAGAAAGTTCACTTCCACACAGAGCCTTGTAGTGAGGGGGGAAAGTATTATAAATCTCAGATTTCATATTGAACCTATCCTGGTAATTTATCTTCATCTAAATACTTTGGGTTATAACTGCATTGAACAAAGGGATTGTGTGTGTGTGTGTTGTGTGTGTGTGTGAGAGAGAGAGGGTACTTTACTGCCAATTTCATATGTATTGAACTTGTCTAGTAATGCTTTGTGTTTATTTCAGGTGGGAAAAGCTCTTTTAACTGGCTAATAGGAAGCAGCATTGACACTTTTGCAGAGTACACAGCTTCTTCATCTTCCGAATCTCTGTCTTCATCCATGCTGCTCATTAATAAGCGGGCTGACAAATCACACAGAGCTGTTCTCAAACCATTAGGTCCCGGTTTTGGGGGGAAAAGGCTGGGTTTGCCAGGGGACGAGGTGGACAGCAAGGCTAAAGGTATTGCTGCTGTAAATGCACCCTCTCTTCATGTGTTCTATTGAAGTTATCGTTAAAATAAGACATATTTTATGATTTAAGCCAGAATTATGTAGTTTGGATTTTTGAAGGAGTATCATGAGTCATGTCACAAAATGGTTGCATGCATATATGACAAATCACTGGAGGGTGATGGCTTTTCAATTCTAGACGCATCTGGAAAATACTCATTATCTAGATTTCTTTCAGTTGGAAATGCATGTGGTTTCCTCTAAGAACTGAATGGGATGGAGTAAATCTCTAATAATTAATGTATACCTGTTAGCTACTTTTCATGCCACCGTGTTTTCCTGAAAATGAGACAGGGTCTTATATTAATTTCTGCTTAAAAAAACGCATTATGGATTATTTTGAGGGGATGTCTTATTTTTTTCATGTACAATAATCTATCTTTATTCAGATACAGTCATGTCATCTGGTTGCTGCACAATGGTGGAGGGCGGGGTTTCACTTAACTGGGCTTATTTTTGGGGTAGGACATATATTACAAGCATCCTGAAAAATCATACTAGGGCTTATTTTCAGGTTAGGTCTTATTTTCGGGGAAACAGGGCATCAACATGGTTCTTGGCTTTAGAGTCATTAAGTGCAGTGGTACTGATCCTTCCTATGAGGTTGTGTCCAGAATACTGTACATTGTTGGCCATTGACCTATGATGTCCCACAGGGTGCTGTTCTTCCCACAATGCTGTCTGATTTGTTTATGAAACCTCTCATATTGAGCTTTGGAGTAAAATGTTATCTTACTTTGTTGCCCTTTTTTATCTGACTCCAACAAAACATTCCAGATTCACAAATGTTCCTTGAATTTACTGGTAGGATGAGTGAGAGTGAACAAGCTTATTCAATCTTATCTAAATGGAGGTATTGTAGTTTACTAGAAAGTCTGGGTCAGAGTTTGGGATCCCTGCTGGTCTGAGAAGTGTGGCATGCCTTTTGAAAGATCAGGTTCATGGCATGGGATGTCCTGAACATTAACTGAACGTCTGTCTTCCAGTCTTTGGAGTCATTTTGCCCTGATTGTCCTGCTTCCCTTTCCTCCACTGCCCATTGGAGCTGGTCTTAGCCCTGCTTCTGATTACTCAGCTCCCATATGTAACAATCAGAAACCATCTTAGACTCTCCCCTCCCCCAAGCAATGCCCAGTTTAAGACATTGTATTTTGGAAGATCCTAGGTAATCACAGTGTGCTGTAGATGGAAGGCATGAGGCTCTTAATCAGAACTGCTATCTCTTGCACATTCAGCTTATCACCCTCCCATGTGGGCAGGGAAGAATGACTGGCAAGAGGTAGTGGAGAAACAAGAGTCTTAATGGGCTTTGTGACATGGTATTGCAGGAATCTCAATGGCATATGTTCATAAGCCAGAGGGGAACAGGGAAAAAATGATTTCACGAACTTGAAACATTGTACAATATTAGGAATGTTGTTGAATTAAAACAAAAAAGCCCAAATACCTTTATAGGTGTTAAGTTGAACTATGGGTAACAATTCCAGTTCTTAGAAGCAGGGTTTGTATGCAAGTTAAATTTGGTTTGATAAACAGGGTTTTAATGTTTTTAACTTAGAGAATTTTCTTTGTACATGTATAAGTTATAGACATACGGGCTGACATTCTGAGGCTGCGAAGGCGTTTCTTAAAGGATCAAGAAAAGCTTAGTTTGATTTATGCAAAGAAGGGTGTTGCTGAACAGAAACAAGAAAAGGTATGTTTTTTTCTGAATGAATCATGAATAAAATCTCTAGAATAATTCAGCTGAGGTGCCTCTTGATCAGAGTGCCTACTTGCTTATCTGTTTTGGAATATTGCATGGCTGGAATGTTCAAGTGAACCCATAACCAAGGAGCTGTCTACTCTTACCTCTTGATCAGAGTGCCTACTTGCTTATCTATCATGGAATATTGCATGGCTGGAATGCTCAAAAGAACCCATAACCGTCTACTCTTATTCTTTAGAAGCAGCAGTCTCTGTGCTGAGGGACAACCCTTTCACCTTTCACCTGTTGATGAACTGCTAGTGCCACCATCATCTCACATCCTTGGCCAGACTAGCTGAGGATCATAGGAATTGGAGTTCAGTAACACCTTTAAGTCCCATTGCCTCACCATTCCTTCTCCACTGCTCAAGGAGCAGCGCCAGTGAGGATCAGATACAGCTGTGATTCTCCATTCATGGTGGCCCAGTCCTGTTTGGCCTTTGGAGAAGAATGACCACAAATTGAGGATTATCATTAATAGAGTGGAGATTTTCAGATTTTACTTTAACAAAGCAGTGTTATATAATTGGTATTCCCTGCCAGGATCACTTAAACGTTCCTCTCTGCAAATAATATTTCTGAAGTCAGGTACCCACATGATTTAGAAATGGTCCAAGCACTAGTATGGTCATGGACCACAGGGTAACGTTTTGCTGTGGAGCAGACTGTCACCACATGCATGGAGAGAAGAATGCAATGACTGCTTTGATTTTGATGAATGCTTTGATTTGGATTCCTGCATTGAGCAGGGGGTTGGAATTGATGGCCTTATAGACCCCTTTCAACTCAACTCATATTCTATGATTCTATGACTGCACACCAATGGTGTCAGTCCTCTGTGTGCAATTTGTATCACCCCACATTACCATTGCCTTTAGGAGGGATGTACTGCAAAGGGTGTTATGACCTAAAGTTTTAGCTGTTAAGTGGTAGACCAACCGCAGGGAATGACAATATCTCCAGGAAGTAAGAAAGGGCCTCTGGTTACCCGGTGTGGAGAGAGCAATGTTATCAGCTGGTAAATCCTTGCTCTCAAGCCAGAGGGCTGTCCACTCAGTAGGCTGTATTCAAAGAAGCCTCTCATGTGGAAGAAAATGGCTCCCTTGTTTGTCCAGTCCAGTGCTGTATTCTCCTTGTGCTGTAGTTGTTGGCATTTTTATTTTAAGCATAATTAATAATCCTACCGTTTTGAGCCAGGAATTGAGAATTTCTTGCACTGTCAGCCTTGGTCTTCGGAGATGGCATTTTTCCCTTAGTAAAGAGAAACCAGTTTTATTTTCCATCAGAAGGAAATGCTACTCCAGAATATTTGACCTTCAGACACTACTGCAAATGGAAATTTAAAGTCAAATAAACTGTTATGTACTTAAAATATTCTAAGCAGAAAAAATGATGACCAATAATTAGCATTCCTAGTTTAATATATATTATAACATTTTTAAAAATGAGATTTTCATTATGAATCACCATCTTGTCATGGATACAGGTAAGCATATCCTAAAATGCTGGGCTTTAAACCACATGAAAAACAAAGAATGCCACTTGTACCTAAAAGCTAGTTAAATCCCATTAATAAACAACATTGGTTTAACTTGACTTTTTCATTAATATCAAGTTTCAGCTGGTCATTTAAAGCTGTCTCAGTAATGTTTTCTTCTTTCTTGACTTCATACATAGAAACCTTCACAATAGTAACTTTGCCAGAATATTTTTGGCAGTTTGTGTTTAAATCTGTTATGATTTCTGCCTACCATTTCAACCAAGGTTCCCTTTGCAACTCTACCCCCCTCCACGCTGGACTCTCCCTTCTCTGCACACCCACGGCTATCGTTTTCAGCCCTTTTGGTTCCAGTCACGATGGAACCCCACACAGCCCTTTGGTTCCAGTCACGATGGAACCCCACGCAGGGCAGAGCACCACCCAGCAGAGCTGAAAATTAGAGGGAACATTGATTTCAACAGATACATATGCAAATCATGTACTCACTGCTTTCTCTGATTAGAGGGAACATTGATTTCAACAGATACACATGCAAATCATGTACTCACTGCATGAAATCCTTGCTTTCTCTGCCCTTATAAAGATGACTCATAAAATGTTGGTTGTTGTAGGAAATGAAAACTCAAATGAAGATGAAGCATGATGCTCAGGTCACTTTGTACAGGAAATATAGGCAAGGTGATCTCCCCGATATCCAGATTGAATACAGCAGTCTCATCACTCCTTTGCAAGGTGTGGCACAGGTATGTAACTGGATCAGGAATTTTTAATTACAGTCTGTATAAAGCAGGTCTTGCAAAGGTACAGTGGTGCTTCGCTTAACGACGATAATCCATTCCAGGAAAATCGCTGTTAAGCAAAAATGTCGTAAAGCGAAGTTTAAAAACCCATTGAAACGCATTGAAAACCGTTCAATGAGTTCCAATGGGCTAAAAACTCACCATCCAGTGAAGATCCTCCATACGGCGTCTATTTTCGGTGCCTGTATAGCAAGTAATCCATCCCTAAGCACAGCGGGAAGCCATTTTAAGCACCCGGCGGCCATTTTGAAAACCCGACAATCAGCTGTTTTTGATCATCGCAAAGCGAAAATCGGTTCCCGAAGCAGGGAACAGATCATCACTAAGCGAAATTCCCTCATTTAGACCATCATTTTGCAATCGCAATTGCAATTGCAAAAACATCGTTATGAAGCAGATTCATCGTAATGTGGGGCAATCGTTAAGCGGGGCACGACTGTATCTCAAATTTATGTTTAATTTTTGGTATATTTACACTTGAAATTCTATATCCTTGTTGAAGGTAACCATGTCAAGCTCTTCTGAATTCTTTGCCTCAAAACTATTTGCTCTTCTTTACATAGCATTTGACCCCTTCACAGATTGCTGCCTTGTCGTGTGAGTAACTCAGGGAAGCTATGGGCTACGCCGTGCAGTGGCACCCAAGACAGACAGCTCATAGTGGAGAGTTCTGACTAAACGCGATCCACCTGGAGAAGGAACTGGCAAGCCACTCCAGTATCTTGGCCAAGAAAACTCCAGGGACAGAAATAAAAGGCTAAAAGATATGACGATGGAAGATGAGCCCCTCAGGTTGGAAGGCATCCAACATGCTACTGAGGAAGAGCGGAGGACAAGGACAAGTAGCTCCAGAGCTAATGAAGTGTTTGGGCCAAAGCCAAAAAGGATGCTCAGCTGCGGATGTGCCTGGAAGTGAAAGGAAAGTCCGATGCTGCAAAGAAAAATGCTGCATAGGAACCTGGAATGTAAGATCTATGAACCTAGGGAAGCTGGATGCCGTCAAACAGGAGATGGCAAGAATAAACATTGACATCCTGGGCGTCAGTGAACTAAAATTGGCGAAAATAGGTGAATTCAATTCAGATGATAACCATATCTACTGTTGTGGGCAGGAATTCTGTAGAAGGAATGGAGTAACCTTCATAGTCAACCAAAGAGTGGAAAAAGCTGTACTGGGATACAATCTCTAAAATGATTTCAATACAAATCCAAGTCAGACCTTTCAACATCACAATAATCCAAGTTTATGCACCAACCACCGATGCTGAACAGGCTGAAATAGACCAGTTCTATGAAGACTTACAACACCTAGAACTGACACCAAAGAAAGATGTTCTTCTCATTCTAGGGGACTGGAATGCTAAAGTAGGGAGTCAAGAGATAAAAGGAACAATAGGTAAGTTTGGCTTTGGATTTCAAAAGGAAGCAGGGCAAAGGCTAATAGAGTTTTGTCAAAAGAACAAGCTAGTCATCATTAATTTATGATGATTTTGTGAATTTTCTCCATTGGAAACCATTGGATGGTCTGTCTAATGGTTTCCAATGGAGAAAACAAAAAATCATCATAAATTAACGAAGTGTCAGAACAACACCAAAATCAGTTTGCATAGGTTTCAGGAGGTGGGGTAACCATTGCAATCATTTAAAACAGCTTCCAAACATTGTAAGACACTTACAAGGCCAGTGGAAGTGATGGCATTCCAGTGGAACTATTTAAAATCTTAAAAGATGACGCTGTTAAGGTGCTGCACTCAATATGCCAGCAAGTTTGGAAAACTGAACAGTGACCAGAGGATTGGAAAAGAAGGGGGAGATATAGAGGCAGTGATGGATTTTACTTTCTTGGGCTCCATGATCACTTCAGATGGTGACAGCAGCCCCAAAATTAAAAGATGCCTGCTCCTTGGGAGGAAAGTGATGACAAACCTTGACAGCATCTTAAAAAGCAGAGAAATCACCTTGCCGACAAAGGTCCACATAGTCAAAGCTATGGTTTTTCCAGTAGCAATGTATGGAAGTGAGAGCTACACCATAAAGAAGGCTGACCACCGCAGAATTGATGCTTTTGAATTGTGGTGCTGGAGGAGACTCTTGAGAGTCCCCTGGACTGCAGGGAGAACAAAGG